GCTATTTTTTGGTTGCAGCCGTCATTGTTGTTTGGCGGGTCTGGGCTGGATTCGAACCTGCCACCTTAGGTGTACGTGGCTGGTGCCTTAGCCGGTTGAGCTATAGGCGCTGAGCCAATTTTACCTAATGTTAACAGCTTCCAGGGCCTCCCATATGAACCTTCGAAGTTCTGAGCAAAGAACATTTAATGACGATTCTTGGGAAATATGACATTAGCTGAATTAAACTGCAGAAGAAAAACCACCCTGTAAGCACGCATCACAAGGAGTACTAGGAGGCAGAATATCATAATGGTTAAAAGCAGAGACTTGGGTGGTGCCTGTGGCTCAAAGGAGTAGGGCACCCGCCCCATATGCCAGAGGTGGTGGGTTCAAACCCAGCCTCGGCCAAAAACTAAAAAAAAAAAAAAAAGCAGAGACTTAGGGCTCGATGTAGCTCAGCGAGTAGGGCGTCAGCCACATACACCAGAGCTGGTGGGTTTGAACCTGGCTTATGCCTGCCAGACAACAAGGACAAGTACAAACAACAACAACAACAACAAAGCCAGGTGTTGTGGCAGGCACCTAATCCCAGCTACTTGGGAGGGCAAGAGAATCACTTAAGCCCAAGAGTTAGAGGTTGCTGTGAGCTGTGATGCCACAGCATTCTACCAAAGGCAACAAAGTTGAGACTTTGTCTCCGAGAAAAAAAAAAAAAGGCAGAGATTTAGGAATGAGACTGACCTGTGCTTGATTTCTATTTTCAGCACTTACTTAGCTGAGTGACTTTAGGCAAGATACTTTAACTCTCTAAGCCTTAATTACCTAATCTGTAAATTGACAGTTAACATCTCTCTCCTAAGATTGTATATTATACAATCTAAGCGCTCCTACATAGTAAGCACTCAAGATTACATGCTCATTGTTATAAGCAATAACAAATCACAAAAATAAAAAATATTTTGTTGTTCAATTTTTAACTAAAAGACTTTCAGAGGCGTTACCTCTCATTTCTTTTTAGACCACTTTCCTTGTTTTCCTCTGGAAAGTTTTGTTTTTGAGACAGACTCGCTCTCTGTTGCCCTGGATACAGCGCTGTGGCATCATAGCTCACAGCAGCCTCAAATTCTTGGGCTTAAGCAATGCTTTTGCCTCATCCTCCAGAGTAGCAGGGACTATAGTCCCATGCCACTGCAACTAGCTAGTTTTTTCTATTTTTAGCAGAGATGGGGTCCTACTCTTGCTTAGGCTGGTCTCCAAATCCTGAACTTAAAGGGATCCTCTGGCCTTGGCCTCCTCCCAGAGTGCTCGGATTATAGGCATGTGCCACAATGCCTGGCCTCCTCTGGTGGGTTTTCAGTGTCAAATTTCTTTTCTTTTCTTTTTTTTTTTTTAGAGACAGAGTCTCATTTTGTCACCCTTGGTAGAGCACCGTGGCGTCACTGCTCACACAACCTTCAGCTCTTGGGCTTAGGTGATTCTCTTGCCTCAGCCTCCAGAGTAGCTGATACTACAAGGTCCCCGCCACAACACCCGGCTATTTTTTGTTGCAGTTTGGCCAGGGCTGGGTTTGAACCCACCACTCTTGGTAGATGGGGCCAGCACCCTACACACTGAACCACAGGTGTCACCCCAGTGCCAAATTTCTAATATTCTTTTCTATGTATCTGACTCCCCAAATTATTTATGTCTAGAGTTTTAAAATATTTGTTCTAGGGCAGGTGCCTGTGGCTCAGCGCATAGGGCGCCAGCCCCATATACCGAGGGTGGCGGGTTCAAACCTGGCCCCGGCCAAAGTGCAACAAAAAAATAGCCAGGCGTTGTGGCAGGCACCTGTAGTCCCAGCTACTCGGGAGGCTGAGGTAAGAGAATGGCCTAAAACTCAGGAGTTGGAGGTTGCTGTGAGCTGTGATGCCATAGGACTCTGTCTCTACAAAAAAAAAGAAAAAGGAAAAATAAAATAAAATATTTGTTCTAGGTGGAGCTTGGTGACTCCTGCCCACAATCCTAACACTCTGGGAGGCCAAGGCAGGTGAATTGCTTGAGCTCAAGAGTTCCAGACCAGCCTGATCAAGAGTGAGACCCTGTCTCTACTAAAAATAGAAAAACTAAACAGGCATTGTGGTGGCTGCCAGAAGTTCAGTTATTAGGGAGGCTGAGGCAAGTGGATTGCTTGAGTCCAAGAGTTTGAGGTTGCTGTGAGCTATAATGATGCCATGGCACTCTTTCCAGGGAGACTCTGTTCTCAAAATAAATAAATTTGCTCCTTATATCTTCATTCACTCATTCCTCCATTCATCCACCAAACATGTGACTAATTTATGTAACACACTGGCGCTAGGCGAGTTTAAAAGTTAGTGGGACACAGACCCTACCTTAAAGAAATTCATAGACTTAGTTAGCAAATGAAAATACAAAGCCGGGTGTGGTGGCTCACGCCTGTAATACCAGCACTCTAGGAGGCTCAGGCTGGGGATCCCTTAAGGTCCTGACTTCAGAGACCAGCCTGAGCAAGAGTAAGATCTGTCTTTACTAAAAATAGAAAAATTAGTCTGACCTTGTGGGAGGCCCCTCTAGTCCCAGCTACTTGGGAGGCTGAGGCAAGAGGATTGCAGAAACCCAGGGGTTTGAGGTCGCAGTGAGTTAAGCTGAGGCCACGGAACTCTAGCCCTGGAGACAGAGTGAGACTGTGTCTCAAATAAATAAATACAAAATAAATGAAAAATACAAGACACAGAGTTTTTAATTTGAACCTCAGATAAACAAGGACTAATTTGTTACCATAAGTATGTTCCGTGCCACGGGGCACTGTGATGGTAAAGACTAGAATGTAGTATGCAAGCGATAAAAGGGCGTACAAAGTGATGTGGAATATTCCCTGGAGAGTGCGTCTAAATTCTGATAGGTCTGATCTAGACGTAATCGCATGCCCAAAGATTTTCGTCCTAGCGGGAAGAAAACGCACAGCCTGTTTTCCAGACTGGCGAATTTTAAGAACTGAAATTCATCAGTCGGCTTTGCCACTTACAGCCGCTAGATGCCGCGACAGACGCAGTTACTGACACCATAGACGACTAGACCACTTGGCCGCCCAGAGAGGCAGCAGCCGCACTCCGCTACTTCCTGTGCGTGAGCTCCCCTCGCAGGAAGAGGCGTAAGGTGGGGGGGGGGGGGGAAGAGACGAGGAGGTCTCGCGAGAGGGAAAGCAACTCTCGCGATGATTTATTTATTTATTTATTTATTTGTGTCTGTGTTTATTTGCCTAGCGGCTGACAACGGGCTAGTTGCTCCGGGTGGAACTCCTAAGGTGGTCTAACCTGAGATTGGAGTGAGACCCCAGCCGTAGGCCGGGGTTCTTTCCATATAGAGGAGACGGATTCAGAGGGGCTCCAGGTAATTCATACTTACTCCAGTAGAAAGGGAACTACCTTTCTTCCTCCGAGAGGGAATTGTAGAGGATTTCCCGTCCCCTAGCTCGCTAGGACCTCTTTCCCGTCTCCGTGATAACTGTTCCTTCGCACACACACCCCCCAACCGTCCTGGCTCCTTTATTCTCCAGCTAACGTAAGTGTGATCTGATCTGAAAGACAGGGTGCAGCTGGGGGTGATGCTGTCGATTATTGGATGGGACTGAAAGACTGGAGCTTACCCTTTTTTCGGCGACCCCCTCTCACCCCAAAACTGGCCCCAGTGACCAACTCTTTCTTTCTTTTTACTTCCTTCCTTTCTTTTCTTTCCTTCTTTTCCTTCCCTCCTTCCTTTCCTTTCTTTCCTCCCTTTCTCTCTTTCTCTCTCTCTCTCCCTCCCCTCTACTTTCCCTTCCTTCCTTTCTTCCTCTTTCTCTCTCTTTTCTTTTCTTTCTTTCTCTCTTTCTCTCCCTCTTTCTTGACAATGTCTCATTCTGTTGCCCTAGGCTAGAGTGCTGTGACATCCCTCTTCTTCCCCTTCCTTCCTTTCTTTCTTCTTTCTTTCTGTTTCTTTTCTTTTCTTTCTTTATCTCTTTCTTGACAATGTCTCACTCTGTTGCCCTTGGCTAGACTGCTGTGACATCGTAGCTCACAGCAACCTCAAGGGATCCTTGCTTCAGCCTCCCTAGTACCCTAGGAGCTGGGACTACAGGTGCCTGCCACCACACCCAGCTAGTTTTTCCATTTTTTAATAGAGATAGGGTCTTACTCTTACTCAGGCTGGTCTCTAGCACCTGAGTTTAAATAATCCACCCGCCTCAGCCTCCCAAAGTGCTAGGATTACAGGCTTGAGCCACCCCGCCCTCCCTCAGAGACAGAACTCTTTATGACCTATACAGCCTTCCCTGAGAAACCCCAACAACCTTGGGAAAACTAACCAAAGGAGAGAAGAAAGCCTCAGTCTACATGCAAATACTGTTCTCATCATGCCTTTGTATCTGACGTCTTTAGGGGTATGCTGCAGAATTTGGTGGTCATCTCCACCTTCATTGATTCTCTCATTCTTCAGCCAGGCTGCCAGCAGTTCCTAAATAAGGGCTGCAGCAGAATGACTTAACTGCTTGACTAGGGCCAAAAAGCCTTAAGGAAAGTTTGGATGGGGGTGAAGCTTTTATGTAAAACCAGTGTCTTGAGTAAGGGAGAGGAACCTACTAGTTTGGAATGTATCTCCTGGCTCAGTGCTCAGTGTTCCATAATAGCACTGTGTCCTCATATCTCCTTTTGCTTAGACCAAGATTGTTGAAAACCAGACATATGATGAGCGTCTAGAGATTAACGACTCTGAAGAGGTTGCAAGTATTTATACTCCAACCCCAAGACACCAAGGTAAGAGGAATGCTGAGGAAAGAAATGTTCTCAGAGCAAAGTGCAGGATGATCCAAGGCAGTCTTCAAGTTCTTATTTTATAATAGCAAATGTTGACTTTCAGAGTCAATTTACTTATGTTGCCATAGTTTGTTTCCTAACTAAAGGGAGAGAAATTAGAGCCTCCCAGATTGCAGATTTTCCCCATCCAACCCTATCGCCATTTACTTCATTTTACTATTGTGCTCAACAGGCTGTTGTGTCGTTTTTTAACTTATCAAAACTGTTTTTCTCAGCTTTGAAGATGTCCCATAATCTGCCCTTAAACTACAACCCCAGGCAAAAATTTCAGTGGAATATTTTTAGAGGATGTGACACCATCCATTTCAATAACGTTTTAAAATGCCTACTATGGCTCAGCACCTGTAGCTCATGTGGCTAAGGCACCAGTCACATACACTAGAGCTGGCAGATTCGAATACAGCCCGGGCCTGCCAAACAACGACAACTACTATCAAGAAAAAGCTGAGCGTTGTGGCTGGCACCTGTAGTCCCAGTTACTTGGGAGGCGGAGGCAGGAGAACTTGAGTCCAGGAATTGGAGGTTGTTGTGGGCTGTGATGCCACGGCACTCTACCCAGGGTGACAGCTTGAGGCCCTGTCTCAAAAAAAAAAAAAAAAAAAAGAAAAGAAAAGACTATGTGCCAGCCTTATGCCTGGCTTTGGGTATATAGTGTTAAAACAAATGACACATTATTCCTCCCATCCTGGTGCTTATAATCATTGTGACAAATAAATAAATATAATTACAAATGTGATAAGTGCATTGAGGAGGCAAATTGTTTGCTGTTCTGGAGAGTAATGGTGAGGATGGGGGCCTGATTTTGATAGGGTGGCCAGAGAAGACGTAAGGAGGTGACATTTGAGACTGAAAAATGAGAAGGGTCAGGCCGGACATGGTGGCTCACACCTGTAATCCCAGCCCACTGGGAGGCCAAAGTGGGCAGATTGCTTGAGCTCACCAGTTCGAGACCAGCTCTGAGCTAGAGTGAGACACCGTCTCTATAAAATAGCCAGACATTGTGGACGCCTGTAGTCCCAGCTACTTGGAAGGCTGCGGCAAGAGAATTGCCTCAGTCATCTCAAGAAAAAAAAAAATAGAAAGAAAATGAGAAGGATCCAGAAACTTAAGTAGACCAGGAAGAGGAAACAGCATGTAAGATATAAAAAGTCTGAGGCCTGAAAGAACTTGGCTTAGTTTGAGGACATGAAAGAGACCCGCGTATGACAGAGGGGACTGGATATGTTCGAATCAGAGAGGTAGGCAGGAGGCCTAACACACAGAGCTGTGGAGGTTGTGTTGCTGTCATGGGTGGAATAGGCTGAAAAATGAAAAGGAAAGTGTTGGGAACCAGTTGGAGGGACTCTTGCAGTGACTGAGTTGAAATGGTAGTGGCTTGGAACTTGGTGTGGAAGTTAAGAATAGAAGAGGGAAATACTGTACAAGACATATTGTAGAATCAGTAAGGCTTCCTGATGGATTGACTCTTTTCTTTTTTTTTTTTTGAGACAGAGCCTCAAGCTGTTGCCCTAGGTAGCGTGCCATGGCATCATAGCTCATAGCAACCTCCAACTCCTGGGCTCAAGTGATTCTCCTGCCTCCGCCTCCCAAGTAACTGGAACTATAGGTGCCTGCCACAATGCATGGCTATATTTTGGTTGTAGCTGTCATTATTGTTTGGCGGGCCTGGGTTGGCTTCGAACCGGCTAGCTCAGGTGTATGTGGCTGGCGCCTTAGCTGCTTGAGCCACAGGCACCAAGCCTGGATTTGACTCTTGAGTTAGGAATCAGTATGACACCAGGGTTTTTGTTGGTTTATCATAGTATACAACATAAAGTTTGCCAGTGTTGGCTTGGCACCTGTAGCATGGTGGTTACAGTGCCAGCTACATGCATCGAGGGTGGTGGGTTCAATCTCAGCCTGGGCCAGCTAAACAACAAGGACAACTGCAACCAAAAAAAAAAAAAAATAGCTGGGTGTTGTGGCGGGCACCTGTAATCCCAGCTACTTGGGAGGCTGAGGCAAGACAATAACTTAAGCCCAAGAGTTTGAGGTTGCTGTGAGCTGTGATGCCATGGCCCTCTACTCAGGGTGACAGCTTGACACACAGTCTCAAAAATTTTTTTTGCCAGTCTTCTAGCTGTTAAGTCTAGCACTCTTTTGACTTTATTAGTTACTAATCTTGACTTTATTAGTTACTAATCGCTCTCTTTTTTTTTTTTTTGAGACAGAGCCTCAAGCTGTCCCCCTGGGTAGAGTGCTGTGGCATCACAGCTCACAGCAACC